GTCGGGGCTGAGATTATCCTCAAAAGTCTTTCTTACAAAACCAAGGTAAGATCATGGCTTCTTAGGCAAGGCAAGGCAAGTTTATTTATATAGCACTTTTCAACACAAGGCAATTCAAAGTGCTTTACAAAAAATGAAAGACATTAAGAAAATGGCATTTAAAATCAATCATTAAAAAGAAAAGTTAATAAAGACTGTGAATGCAACAAAAGAATAATGCCGTTTGAAAAGTCATTACATTCTTTTGCATTTTATTTCCTCAGATTTGTGAGCGTTCCACATCCCCTCGATGGGACGAAGCCTTTCATTTTCTGGTTCGAGACCCCAGAGATGAAGCAGTCATAGTGAAGGTGAAAGACATAAACATCGCAATGCAAGCATCCATATTATTTATAATGTTATAACTTAAAGATGAATTGCAGTCTGAAGTATGTTGTAATTTCCATGATGTTTGTGTTTGTTTGTTTCTAGCTCTCCCACAGCTGGGGCCAGGCCCTCGGGTCCTTCGCACTCCCTCTCAGAGAGGTGATGATGGAGCCAGGCTTAGTGCTGGACCGCTGGATTAATCTGGATGGAGCGCTGCCAGAAAGCCAGATATTACTGAGGGCCACTCTCAAGGTACTGATAATATTTCATCCTTTATCTACACTACCAATATGCTGCAATATGTGACCATGTGAGTGATGCCCTGACTGGTACAGTATCACTTTCTCTTTATTAAACCAGCATTGCACTGCACGGAATACTGTACTGTACTATCATGTGCTGTCAGGGCCGTGGGAAGTAGGGGTGCTGAGGGTGCTGCAGCACCCCCTGGTGGAGGACAGGGGATCTGCACTTCACAAGATTAAATACAAATATAATATAAAAAAACGAATTTTCAGCCTTGATGTAACAACATTCATAATTAAGTAAAGATAACACCCTTTTCACCCCGGTGAGAGTGAGAGGCAGAGAGAGAGAGAGATAGAGAGAGGGGGTGCACCGGTACCGGCGGAGATTGTTGTTAGCTTCTGCTGCGCTAACGGATATAAGAAGCTGTTTCTACAATAATGTGGAGGGAGAGTTCTGTCCTGTCAGACTGAGAGGCTCAGTGAGGTAAAGGACTCTTGAGGGTTTAGATAGTTCACTTTAGTCTAAGTTGTCTCAGTGGGTCTCAAACATTTTGGTCACAATTTATGTACACCTTTATAATTATTAGGATAAATAAAAACAGGTTTGAAATCATTCCAATGTATACTATAGGACAGTAAACCAAAAATATCGTTTAAAACTGGAGAGAAAAAAAAATATGCATAAATAAATAAATGTTAACCAGGTAAAATAAGATATGAATGAACCCCAAAAATAAAATAAGTTTTAACATTTATTTTGTATTGGCTATGGTAGGTTATTTGTTATGTTCACATAATACTTATTTGATTAATAAAATGCAAACCGATCTTTTTCATATGGGTGTTTAGAGTTGTACCCCCGAGATCAGTCTCTAGTAATTGGGTGCTCAAGGTGCACCAGATTGAAGCATTTTACTTTAAAAATCTTTCCGGGGAGGACCCCCGGGACCTCCCTAGAGGATGTGACGACTACCCCCCAATTAAAACATGTTCATACAATACTAAATACATTTGAAGCCTTTTTATATAAGCTGTCCACCATGTCAATAAGTTTCTCTGTTTGTAGTGTATTGGTCTTTTGTAGAGGTTTTTCATTGCCAGCTAAAATCTTGCCTCGGGCAGCAAATTGGTCAGAACCGGCCCTGGTGTCATCCCCACGGCACCTCCCATTTGAAACATGTTCCCACGGCTATGTGTGCTGTACACTGAAGATAACATCCTGCACAATGTCTTTGCATTTAGAAAAACTTGGTTTTGCTTTGTAGGTATTCTTTTTTTTTTAGAACTTTTTATTTATTCCACAAATATATAACATACATGGAGATGTACATAAAAATCACACCCGCCTCAAGTTTACAGTTCACTCAAATCTACATGTTATTGCTCACATACACACGTTACTCCTTTCCTTCTAAATCTTGACAAATTATACATAAATACAGACATTCATTTAAATACTCTGAGCTTTCAGTAGGTATTCTTAAAGCTGTAATGACTAACTATGGGGTTTAAAACATAGGCCTTACAGCATCTCTGAATAATATGGAATACAACATTACTCATTGTTAAATTCATCCAAAAATATTGTGTAAAAACCGAAAGTAGTCATTTTACATGGGTTGGTGCCACACACACTTTTCTTCAATCTGTGCTCAACACACATGGGGGTTGAAAGTCATTCTGAACCCCAGATGCCATATATCTCTGAACCAGTACTGACTTTGGATTTCTCCTTCAAAAAAAGTTGCAACACTGGCAATTTCAAGTCTTGCTGCATGCTGCATCATCTGTAAAATAAAGTCCTTATTAAGACCAGTGATAGATTATTATGCAGCAGCAATGTCATGCTGAGCAATAATCCGTATCTTGCAGGTGTTGGACACTCAGCTGGCGGTGTGTCGTCGAGCCCCGGGGGAGGCAGGAACTGAGGGAGAAGAAGTCATTCCCAGATGGGTTCCTTCTCATCTCGACCTCAGACGGAGAAGTGGATTTAACGCGTGAGTTACACATACAAGCATTAATGCTCCATTGTGTAGCCACTATACCCCACTGTTAACATATCAGGGTCTGTTTTAGTGGAATGTTTTTCCTTTTTACTTCATTCTATTTCGCCCTATAGATTTAAGGACATCATGATGTAAATAATCACATTTACTGCTCTGTGTCTTTAGGGCTGATAACCCAAACTCAGCAGGCCAGGTGAAGCTTACCCTCAGCTACTCCATCGAGGAGAGCAAGCTATTCGTCACCGTTCACGCCTGCAGGTCTCGATATAACATATGTTACTTCTTAATTATCACCATTTTTTATCTGAAGCACTCGATACCAACACATGTTGTAAATGTGCTGCTGTGAACCCACAGAGCCCTGGCATCCTGCTCTAAGGACGGGGCAGACCCTTATGTCACCTTCATCCTGCTGCCGGACAAGAAGGCGACCACCAAGAGGAGGACTGCCACCAAGAAGAGAGACCTCAACCCAGAATTCAGCGAGAGGTAAGACAGGAAAATTAGACTCATGATGGGGAAGAAAATGTGAGGATTTTAATGTACTTTTTTTTTTTTCTGTAGGTTTGACTTTGACTTCTCTCTGGAGGAGTCTGCACAGAGAAGACTGGACCTGTCTGTGAAGAACAGTGTCTCCTTCATGAGCAGAGAGAGGGAGCTTATCGGCAAGGTATAGAAAATTGTCTGAAATGCAGTTAGTTATTTCAGAGCATCGCATAAATTCCTTTGTGTTGACTTGAATATTGCCAGACGTTAAACATCCTCTTTTCTGTTACTTGTTGCCGACAGTTGCTGCTGGACCTGGACCAAATTGACCTGAAGACTGGTGTCACACAATGGTAATAATTTAAACAACTTCTGATCAATATTTTGTATAAAATAGAGCTGCCAACAAATGTATGTTCATATATTTCTTTCTGCAAGATCATTTGAACAATAAATTGTATCCTTTCTGTTTTTCCAGGTACGATTTGGTAGCAGAGACCAACTAAAGGAATGGACGGTCTGAGTAATATATAATGTTAAGTGTTGCTTCTGTGATCTGTGTGTTTGCGTATTCAGCTTTAATGAAAATGTCCACCATCACTGAAGAAAAAATCACAACATATATGCTCCACAAAAAATAGACCATCAGTATTTAAGAAACTTTACATGTAGCTTGTCATCCGTAAAGTGTTAAAATATGTAGTGAAATTGTGCTGTCCTGGACAGATTCTTCAGTAGAATATTTTGGCTGAATAGATATTTGATAATAATGCAACTATGTTGCACAGCCTACCAAGTTTGTATGTGTTCAAAAGCATGTCAAAGCCCTCTTTGAATTGTATTCATAAAAAGGGCTTGTGCTGTTGTCGATATCTTAAGGTATGATATGTTTTATGGATTTACAGCATCCAACGCAACGAAAGACATTTTTTTGAATTTTTATTTTTTACAACTTTGAAAATAATTCCCAAGATTACTTTGTTTATATATGTTTATATGATTGCCTTAAGTATTACAAATCTGCGCACAGTTTGTCACTGTTTATAAATTATGTTCCAAATGAAGTTTTATATGCTTTAACCAGAGCTTTATCGAAGTTGCTTTTATAAATCAAAGTATTACAAACCTAGACCCTCACATTTACCACTGAAAACCGAGGTAAGCAGAGTCTAAATCACTGTGCTTTTATGAAGAGAAAACTTTGTAGATACTGAAAACACATTGGCGGTGTTACTGCACCCGCGCTTCTTTGTGTTTGTACGTGTTTGTGGCGCTAGAGGAAACAGGCTGAAGCTGTCGGCCATGTTTAGAGTTTATTTTCCAAGCAAAACAGTTTATGACCTTGTAAGAAGCAAGCTGATATTGTACGCCAGCAGTGGGACAGCTCCTATGACCTACCGCTGTCACCTCACCACAAAGGCCTGGGCTCTGATTTGTGGTGAAGGAAATAAAAAAGTGTTTTAAGTGTCAGAACTGAAGAAGAAAACTGCTGAGCTTTGACCTTATTTATCATCATCTATCTGCTGAAATTGTTGATTAAAGTTTGCACTCTCATGAATCAAACCAGTGTTGTGATTTCATTTTTTTGTAAAAGTTTTTGTTTAAACTACATAGGCCTGATAACATATTATACTATAACATTTTAGGGGTTTTCAAATAAATGTCATACTCATATCTGGCCACCAGGTTGCAATAAAGTGCAGACAACCCTTCAATTTTCAGTCCAATTGAATGTGGGCACCCTGCCTGCAGATGTGAGGGGTGGAGGAACAGAGATGTGGTGATTGACAGGTCTTTGAACCAACAGAAGTGACGCATATCCCAGATGGGGGCGGGGCTAGAGCAGAAAACTGCCCTCTGAGTGGAGGCAACAGCAAAAGACTTTAATCAGGATCACACAACAATAATGAATGGAAACACGTCGTAGCCAAGAAAGTTAAGAAGCAACTCAAGTAACGGTTAGGTGTGCATTTGAGAGATATCTGTCGCGAGGGGAAATCTGTTTTAAGTAATGGATTGGCCTGGCAAATTAAAAACTACTTTCTGGAAGAGAAAGCATCTGCACTTTGATTGTTACTTTTAAAAAGTACGTTTTTTGAAGGGAAACTACAGTGGGACACACTGTAAACCTAAACGCGTGAGTAAGAGTAAATGGCATTTTTGGACTGTTATACGAGACTACTGCACTGTCAGCGATTTATCTCCGTTTGGAAAAGTGGATTTTTTGGATTGATCCGTTAATGAATTTGTTGGAATATTTCGGAGATCTTTGTTTTACTTGGATTATCATCACTGGGAAAAAGTTGAAGGATTCGAGTTGACCGGAGGACTCAGCACATCTGGGGCACAATGGGTAACATAGAGAGTGTGGATGGCCATTCGGAGATGAAGCATCACATCATGCCTCTGAAGGTCCCGATGCCAGACCCCACCGAGCTGGAGGAGAAGTTTGCCATTGTTTTGGTAAGTTGTGATCACCTCAGTCTCTCATACGTGGTCCAAATGTCAGATAAAGGGAGCTTAAAAAATGTGGTAAAATTCTAACTTCAATTGTTCTGCCACCATCTGTCTCATACATGAATCCTTAACTTAATTTAAAGTCAAAATAGTGCCAAAACAAACATCCCCAATAATGAATGGTGTGTGGTTTGCGTTAGAGGGGTTATTTTCTCTTTTGTTTTTGTTTCTGACACATGAAAGAGTAGCCTAATGTTTATTTTACATTTCTTTATCGTCCATTATGAAGTGCTGATGTTTTAAGTGAAGCGACCTGTGCTGTCCCGCCCCTCTCTCTGCCTGCTGTCCCCCCTCCTCTCCTGCGGTTCTTTTGTCTCCCCTAAAGTCAGACAACTCAGCGTTTGGCTGAAGTGGCAAACACTGAGCACAGCATGGGGAGAGTTGGGAGGTGTGTGTGAGGGGAGGGGGGGTCATTTTACTGTCTTTGACAGAGCACATCTACGTCTGGGTTTTCTTTAAAGTTTTCTCGCTGCAGGCTAACCATCTGAAAGCAGCATTTTCTGAATTCCCCCAAAACTCCCACACCCTAAGACTCTCTCTCTCTCTCTCTCTCTCTCTCTCTCTCTCTCTCTCTCTCTCTCCTCCCCTCCCTCCCTACACACTCCACATCAGGCTGGAGTTGAGTTGTCTGAGCGCTTTGTAATAATGAGCACACAGTCAACACCCACTTTTACCAACTATCAACACAGTGAAGTGACTCTGTCATCCTACAGCAGACACATCTTCTATTAGGGACTTTACGTAGTTTATTTTTTATCCAGGAACAAATGGTTTTCTTTTATTCTCTTATGGGCCAAGCCTAAGAAGTGAGGGCTCGTTGGTCGTTTAGTTTAGTCATAAAATCCTATTCATAAGAATCCTTTAAAGAAATAGTTCAACATTTTTGGAAATACCCCTTTTTACTTTTTCGCCAAGCATGCATTTTTACAAGTGAAAAGCCAAAAAGGTTGAAAAGCAGTAATGGCACAATAATTCAATTTTGATTGGCCATAAATCTAATCAATATCTCAGAAACAAATCATTGCCACTTTGAGGAGAGCTGAACTAGAACACATGTTCAGAGGGTGTTATACTCTTTGACAAAGTTATAGGAAACCACATTGGCCTTTACGCATTGACACAGTGGTTGAATACGCTTCAGAAGAGCTTCTATCTGTTACATTTAGTTGAGGAAAACTTTCATCATGTATTATTCACTGAACTTGCGTTTAAGTTGCATAATTGAGTTATTTTGCCTCCTTTGCTACGCTCCACGCATATCAAAACAGAAACTCCCACTTGTTGCTCTGATGCAGTGTGAGTAATCCAGCACCACAGATTCAGAGAAGCATACTTATTTACAGTAGGCCTATGCAAAAACGTTTTTTATCATAGAAGCGATACACGTTTATTTTTGGTTAAACAGCACCGGTTTCTCACAGGTACTTATTCTAATATAACCACACCCGGCTTTGATTTTCAGCTTTTTATAAGACTTTAATTACAGCATCAAGCAGCAAAGAGCTTCACAACATTCCTCAGATCGTCTCATTCTTGCACACTTTGTGGATCCTCCATGTTTCTGGAATAAAGCCATTATTTGCCTGCCAGAGCTATCAGCCGCTACAAAATAAATCCCTCATATGAAAAGACTAGCACAGCAAGAAGCTATTCAAGGCCTGCTTGTTGACTGCTGTGTTAAGCCTCAGTCATTATGACAATTTTACACTCTACTACACTGTACGCGCTATTATGACAGCTCAAGTTGTGTCTCTTTCGCGCAGATGGCTCATTGTTTGGGGCCTTTTTGATCAAATGTTTCCCTGTGATTGCAGTCGTCACATTTTCCCATAAAGAGAAAAGATCAACACACATCCTGCCTAGAGACGGGAACAGTCTGTAGTTGTTTGACTGCCCTGCAACACAAAGTCAATCCCTGTTATTATGTTCAGCCGGGCAGAGCAGATGATTTCTATGCAATATGAAGTAGACTCAACAATTTAGTTGTGCTTCTGACTGGGAACGTTTTTCAAGCTCTCTAACCCCACCCACCCCACTCTACCCCATAGTAGCTCCAGATTTCCTTTACTTTGTGGGAAAGAACAACATGCTTGTATATTTTAGTTTTCTTATCAGACAATGTTCGGCTCTCTGCCCTGCCGGCCCGTTGTTCAGAGATAAAGGTACATCAATAGCTTCTGTCTCCGTGTTTAGAGGAAGACAAGGAAGACAAAGCCATGGATCTGTTGTCTGGCTATGGCCATTTTTTGTTATATTTATTCTAAAAATAGTCTGTAAGACATCATTTAGCTTTGTCTAAATTTTGAAGATGTTCTTTCCTCAGCTGGTTCACTTTGTTGCAGCCTCAGAAATAACACTTTTCATAAATGGATATTTTAAAATGGGTAATTTCCCTCTAGTACACTGTGTTTCCGGCTGTGTGATGGAATGCCGACGGGTGTGACGGGATGTGTCTGTCTCTGCGTAGTGGGACGGCCCGCTCCTCTCAGACACAGCTCACAGACGTCCCTCTGGACTGACAGCAGCCCATAATGATGTCATGGTCAGAAGCTTTTGCCAGTGTAGTAATATCCCCAGGCTAATGACTTTACCAGGCGTGCTCTACTGTAGACGGTGGAGGGGAGCAGAGGAGGGGCTTCTACTACTTCATGCGGTCTGCTAATAAAATTCCTGGGTCATTTCTGAGCAGCAGCATGTGCTAAAGGCATCATCTCCATGCCGTCTCCTTTGTCCAGCATCCTCACAAACTGTCTTCTGTGGCTGGAAAAAGCTGCCTGGCATTTTCCCTTCTTCGTTAACAGAGGAAATTGCATTGTAGGCAATGGTCGTTGCGGTTGGTTGGCTTTTCAATAAGAACTGTGTTCCTGCAGGCTGCTACTGGGGCAGAACATGCCATTAGTTCAGCCAGGGATACAGATCTACCTAGACCTCACAGGCACAACATAGAAGCCTTATCTCCAAAATTATATCTTAGTCATTGGTAGCATTCTTGTAATAGTTCAGCCTCTTTTTCCCCTCTCTTTGTCCTTGCTAGCTCTTACTGTATCTTTGGCTTTGTGTGATTCCAAATTAAACGGAAACCTATCATTCACTCACCCACTGAGGGTTTCCTACCTCCCCTTTCCCACAAATGAAGTCTAACTTTGGGTCTGAACTACAAAATAACCTTCTCAGTAAGAAAATGATGTGAGATGAGTGAGTCACTTTTCAAAGGTGCAGGCCTGGCCTGGGATCCTCTTTCAAAGTACCCGAGCACAATCTACCAACTGGATTCCTGTGGTCTAGTCTCAAGTGAGGCCACAGGAGAACTCAGAAAGGGAAAATTCCCTTTGAACTGGCAGTCTGCCACTGTTCATGGTTGGAATGACTTTACCAAAAATGTAAAACAGCGCACACATATTTAAGAGCTGTTGCAGGAGCAGCGTGGGCTTATTTCACCACTTGATTGCATTGGAAACCATCCAAACCGATTTGTCTGACTCTGTTCAACTTCCCACTTCTTTCATCCCGTGACATCGAGTTCCATCACACGTAGATGGGCTGGTGCAGCTTTTCTTTTGAGGTTTGATTGTTTTAGAAGGATGTGTCACCATGAAGCAACAGCAAATGTTGGGAAAACTACAGACACAAAGTCAGTGGTAGAGAAATCAGAAAATGCTGACATGTGACTCCAGCGCCCGGTCTGACATCACTGCTTCTTGATGGCTGATGTCTAAAGAAAGCTGTGTCTGATAGATGCCAGTCAAGTGGAACTAATGGAGTCAAGCTGTGCGATGTGTTCATAGGACATAAAACCTAAATCATTTTTATTTGTTTAATGGCGGTCGCTGTTTATTTATGTGCTGAGTATATCTGCCAATTCCTTTTTTCTCACATGCATCATCTTTTCTAAAAAGAGAAGCTGAGTTGTTGATGTCACTTAAGTTGGAAGAGGGTTTGCATCTGGCTCAGCCACCCACTACTATGTCCCAGGAAGAGGCGGCTTATGGGAGCTGAGCGGACACAGTTAACTTGGTTTTAGAGCAGCAGGCAGAGGGGGTTCAGCACAAGGCTGTCCACCTGGCTCTCTCCACCCTCGGGCTACCATTCCCCAATCTGGAGCAGGCTTTATGGCGAGGTTTAGTGCTTCCCCAACTTTCTCCCCTGCAGATATTTTGTAAAGCAAAGGTCAAGTTAAAGACCACGGCTGAGCACATATAACATATCCAGATACATCAACATTTTGACAAGTATGCTTATTTTTTTGCCAAGATTTAGATGAGAAGATCCATGCAAGTGCCACTCTCGTCTCTTTCTGGTAAATATACAAAGCTACAGCTGGCAGCCAATTAGCTTGGTTTAGCATAAATACTGCAAACAAAGCGCTGGCCTGGCTCTGTACAAATCCAAGACTGACCAGCACTTCTAAAGCTAACTTAAAAACATGTTTTATATTGTTTCTGCTGCCTGTCATGTTTAGAAAACAAGCGATTGGCATTGATTAGCTATATGCGTATTCCTCAAAAATGACATTTCTTAAATTCAACGTCAGACTGACCAACAGAGATAAACAGAGAAGTATTGGTTATTTAATTTCCATTTCCAGATTTCCAAGGTTCTTGTTATTTTCCACTTCTCTGTCCTCATAAACGGCAACTAATAGAGAATTTGTTGTTTGTTCACATAACAGAAATGTGAAAAGATCTGGACTTATTAATTTATGCAAAGAAACGACATGTGTTTTTCATTCCTGTGCATATGTAAGTGTTTCTTTGGTGCGTGCATTTGTGCGTGTCAGTGGGGGGTTTGCATGCTGCTCTAATGCAGCTGCACTACGGCTGTAGGTTGGAGAAGTAGTTTCCTCCTCAATACAATGGGGACTCTGTCAGTCAGTGTTGTTTTAGAAAGGGGGCCTCATCCCCTGGTGCCCTTTGTGCCGCTACGCTCTTCTACACGGACGCTCAGAA